ATACTTTGTAAAGTGTAAGGTTTCATAAATAAGATACATTACTGGACTCAAAATGGTTGAGTAGCACAGTATGTGTATTACATTAGGCCATGTTGATTTGATTATATGGATGACATCCTCCGGGAGCCCCAAAACTGATGCGCGCGTGCGAATAAAAAAAGTTTTGCAAAAAAAAAAGTTCTTTTCATTATGAAATCTACGTGGTCATGAGGGTTGAGCAAATGGCACAGAATATGGTTTGGCGAATAATCTAGTCTTCAAGTTCATTTCTTTACAATTTCGTCTTTTTTCGTTTGATTTTGGCATTCTACGACATTGGTATAGTTTTTATTAATTTTTTTTGTAACTTATGGTATATTTTTGCTCATATTGCAACTGTTTTGTACGATTTACAGTATGGTTGAAAACTTTTTTTTTGGAAACGGCCGAAAATTCATGCGCGCGCGGATGTCATCCATATAATCAAATCAACATGGCCTCAACTATCTTAATCTATCACCGTCAATTGTCTTTGCTCTGTATTGTTTCTGCGGTAATACTAATTTAAACTTCATATGTAGTTGTCTGATTAAATAACATTCATTCCATCCAGATTATACGCTGACTTCCTCTCCAACCAGAGGTTTGGGTTTAGGGTTATTTTTGGCGTGTTTTTAGGCTTTTTTTTAAATCGGGGTTTCTATTTTGCACTGGAATTTTTTTCTCACCCAAAAGAGAAAAAAATTCCAGTGCAAAGGAGAAACCCCAATAAAAAGCCTAAAAACACGCCAAAAATAACGCAAAACCCAAACCTCTGCTTTGAGAGTAACACTGACTATTATAAAGCTAGTAATCCAACATTTACTTGATCGGAAGTAGTGCTGTGTACCTAAACCCACATTTAGGTTCCGATCCGGATTCAAGTCCAGAGGTTTTGGTGCAGTTCCGGACTTGTAAGTCCAGACCTAAACCCATGGCATATAGTATGATATACAAAATTGCATGTTGGCAACCTTGTAATGTTGTATGCGGGCTAAATTTTGGCCACATAACATGGAGGTCGACACTTGATGATGCCCGTTGGCAATGTTTTCTTCATTTGGCCGCTCAGATTTTGGCATCTATGGGAGGTTTTAGGCGGTTGTATGTGAGATGTTAACATTTTTTTGTAATAAGTCCGGAATCGGTTCTTGACTTTTACTTTTTGTTGGACTTTAACCTAAACATTTTTACAAGTCCGGAATCGGTACACAGCACTAATCTGAAGTCTAAGTCTGCCGTTATCGCCTTGCTGAACATCGATGGGTGAATTTTTAAAGAGAGCTATGGGGCCTTGGCTGACAGAGGCTGTAGTCGCCCGACCGTGTGACAGCGTTGCGTCATAACTAACGGCGCTGATTGTGATTGGTTCCCCGCGCCGCCCGGTCAGCGGCGGAGACTATAAATCAGGGAAAGCCGAGTCAACCCTCCTGACTTCCACACCACCATCCATCCGCAAACACTCCTGTCAGACCGTTCAACACTACAGCACAGCGCTGAGCACTGAGAACCTGCAAAACTTCCAGCATCATGTCTATCGCTGACCACAACGGAACATGGAAGCAGCTCTCAGCAGAAAACTTCGTGGCTCTTCTAGATGTCATCGGTACGTACCGTTTAGTGGTTTATCGAGTATGTATAGGGTTATGATTAGGTAGATTGTTGTGGATTTTAAGCTTGCTGGTGTGTTCGCTGGGCGGCGGAGTTTGCTTGGCTGCCTGCCGGTGCCATCCGTTTTGTAACAGGGCTCCCTGCACTCGCTATTCCGTACGGGTACACAAACGGATGGCTTCCAGGGTAAAGTATCACCGGGGCTTACATCCAAGCTTCTCGGCTGTCTGAAGACCTACAAGCCGCAGAGAAAAGCCTGCCTACCCCTTGAGGAACGTTCTATTTGGTCATTCATTTGTAACGTATAGTGTGAAAGTACAACACCCTTTCAAAGAACTATTTACATTTGCACGCTGGCTATTGCAAAGGCAATACAACTTTGCGCAGGTATGTCCGTTGTATTTCTTTTTGTGTCCCTGATCACGATATGAACAGATGTCACGAAGCAATGTAAGTGTGGAAAGCAAATATGTATTCCTGTATGTATGGATGTGATTTCCTTGGTGTATGTCACGACTTGTATGTTTTATTTTGGAAAGGGGGTGGGGTCTATTCAAACTCTTTGAGTTCTATAGTTGCTGCACTCCGAATCCAAAACCATATTGCCCGGCATTAGCGACCACAACAGAATCTGTACCGTTTGTTTGTCGGAACCATGCAAGCGGGAATTTCAACATAGCCGCCTAACCTACCATTCAACTGTGCATTTGTCTCATAGAGTTACCAAGTATACATTTTGTTCTGCCTCTTAGTCTTATTGAAACCATAGTGTAATCCTGTATATCACCACACAGAAGACTTTAATAATTTACCTCAGAGTACGGACGTATAATTTTTCAGTGATTGTTTAGAAAGAAGAAGCAAGGAGGTGGTTATAGCTCCTTGGAAATATTCAGAACAGCATGGGGTTATTTCAGCATAGATGGCGATAAAGCCTCCCGCAGGGCCGGATGATTAATGACGGGAAAGATAAGAATAGATACCGCATACAGAACGCGCCTTCCAGATGTGGTAAGGAAGAAAATGAAGAAGAGACCATGTAGTTGATGCTTCAGTGAAGGCCTTTTCTTTTAATATTTTGTTTTACATGCAAGGGAAGCGACTATGTACAATACGGGAAGAACACGGACACACGTTTAGTGTCCGAACACCCCCAATATGTCGTTTGGTTGCTCCCTAAATGGCTAAGGTCTGTGTGCTTGCCACCGTTGGCATTCTCACAATGCACTCTGCTCACAAATATTATGTGAACATACAATGACCCCCCCCCCCATCTCCGAGTAGATGTTGGGATGAAACTCGTAACTCTTGTTGTCTGCCTGATTTTCTTACAACAAAACTATGAAACAGAGCAGCTAAGAAATTAACAATCTCCCATTTCATCTGCTTGAAAGATGTTTCTCGTCATCTTCAGAATTATGGAATGAAGACAGGGTGATTTTGTTTCTGTAATTCTGTAAACTGCCCTGCTGGAAATGTCACACAGGGAGGAGTCTAATGTTACCGAGGGGCAGAGCGACAAATCCATCAAATTTAGGCGCTGTCACGTTAAAGTCAGACGCTGCCAACAAGTTGTCGTTAGAACGTTTGTGGCCAGATTTCACCGATACGGCTAGCCTGGGCGCCGTCCTATTTGTAGCCGGGGCTCCCATATTTATTCTTAGGGAGCGAGTATGGGAGCCCGGCATACATATAGGATTGTACCCAGGCTACGATACGGTCGCACCCGGGAAAATTAAATGAAGATTGGATGGGAAAAAGTAACACTGTCCATAAACATGATAAAGAAGAAAAGATCGAGAGATAAAATAAAGAAGGATGGACAGATGGAGGGAAAGATGAGGGAGAAAATGATTGAAGGAAGAGAGAAATGAGTAAAGTAGGGCGAAATGTGACCGTGAAAAATTAAAGATTGGCCGCAATTTCTGCGGTTTTATTATTATTACTTTTAGGAATAATCCTCTCTTTTTCAAAATCATAGAATAGACCACAGGAGCTTCCCTAAATGACCTACACTGGGTGAAAAATTGCAACACTGTGAAACCTGCATATGGCGTGAAGGCGTGATGAGTTTTCTGGGTTCCCCCCTCCCCCGATCAATGTAGCTGTGTCAGAGGAAGAGGAATTGTGGCGCCATTCCTAAATGCCTGACATTTATCTCAAACTTGTCCAAGCGACAACTTTTGAAGGCAATTCTTGTGGAGTAGCGTTGTCTGACAAACTCAGGCCGGATCGATAGAGGGGGATTAGAAGTGCAGACGGTGCCTGAACTCACGGGGCAGGTAATCTAGTGCCGTTGGCGTGCGCTGATAGCCTCTACAAGGCTTCGGGAGGCGTGCCCTGATAGCCTCTACAAGGCTTCGGGAGGAGTGCGCTGATAGCCTCTACAAGGCTTCGGGAGGAGTGCGCAGATAGCCTCTACAAGGCTTCGGGAGGAGTGCGCTGATAGCCTCTACAAGGCTTCGGGTGCGCTACATTTTGCCATACCCGAATGTACTATCTAGCAGACCAACTCCATCGGCATGTTATCTGTCTATTTGGCCAATTTCTACTCTTTCCAGTCGCCTCCCAAAGCCTGGTAGAGGCTATAGCTAGTGCGGTGAAGCGCTTGTGCTTTCGCCTTCACAGTCGTTTCTAGTAGCCTGGATGCCAGACTGTTGCAAGGGCCTCAAAACCAGATCACTAACGCAGTTGCCAATCTTCACATTCCGGCCCACGAATATTTCACTGGTCCTATTCCTACCATAAACATCTTTGAAATCGACCATGTAAAACCCCCAGGTGAGCTAGTGGAACTGTGCGGGCAGGCAGTGCTCCCAGCACCGTAGAGGAAGTCTACTAGTGGCCAGGTTGCCAGTCTAGCCAGCTCCTAGGCTCCAAGGCGCTCTAACTGTAACCTCCACAAGGCCTTTCTACGGGAATACGGATAGTAGAATTCGGCAACAAAGAGAGGAGTAAAATTGGCCAAGGGAGTCCGGCTGCGGGAGGTAGTCACTAGTTCCTGTCAAACCTACAAGGCGGCCAAACTCCCCTGGCAATTATTCTCCTATATCCAGCGTAGTTAGTCTGGTAGAGACTACTCTAACTGAGGAGCTTGTTGGTCTGTCGCAGTGTGCAGCTTCGAATTCCTTTCTAGAAATCAAGGTAGGGGATATCATGATCATTATTTTTAAAAATTCCTGGTAAAGCAACTTGACTAGGTATTGGAAGAAAACTTTCCAAGTTTGCGTTTTCTCAGGCAGACATTTTAATATTCATAAGCCAGTGGCTCCTCCAAGACTGGAGTGTAGACATTTCATTTAAGCGTTCGATACTCAGTCATATTACCATGGTTGTACCAAATTAATTGATCTTATCAATATTTTGTTTAGCGATGTATCAAGTTTCTATACCTTAAGGATCAACTTGACAAGTTTCTTATACCGCAACTAATTGTGTTCAATTTCATTTCAGAATTTTTTTTTTATTCCAACATGCAATCACCAGACGCGGTGACGGCACACTCAAGTTTTTTCAACTTATATTAATGCCGCCACCAACACAGGACAAATACATGACGGGACAATACTCATTTACACCTGAGCTAAGTGAGGAAAGCCGTGTAAAGTGCCTTAAAGGGCGCAAGATCGGTGGCATGTCAGTCGAACCCGGGACTCCAAGTTCCGAGTCGCGTACACTGCCGCTACGCCACACGACCCCACCATTTCAGAATTATAAAAGCTTTCACAAATACCAGCAAACTTTAAAATCTGGAATGGAAATCTGCCAAATAAGATTAAAGACGAGTGAAAACTATTTAGTTGACAAGATAGAGCAAAGAAATGTAGTATAGCTATCCACAAAAAGTTTTAAATCAACATATAAGATAAAGATAGCGTAACATTAATTCACATAATTCCACCCTGTATCCTAATACTTCCTACATTTACGCAGTTAAGGTGCTCACGGCATTCTTTGAGGGCGTCGAAGCCACGATAACAATATCATTTTTAAACAACTCACACAACTTCACCGTCCTTGTTCGAAATCTTTTTACAGTGACAGTTTCTTTCCCCGTACGACCAACCTTTGGAATTCCCTCCCTGACAAGTGTTTCCCACCAACCTACAATCTACAGACTTTCAAATCAAACGTTCACCGCCATCTCTTGACAAAGCCATGTTTCTCTCATCTTTCTAGTTCAGTGCCGAGAAGTGGTCGTATAGGCCTTGCATTGAACCACTCCGTTAAAAAAAAGCGAGTTAACGTTATACTCAAACGGCAAACCATACTCAAAATTTGAGAATACACAAGTGAATGAGTAACAGATTAGTTTATCCCGCAGTTAAAGTCACTTACTGAAGTTATACTGTCCTATAGGGGGGGTCGGCATCCTGTCATCATGTCGTAAACCCTGTCTACACGTCACGTCGAACGCCATCCAATCAAATTGTGCAGACTGTAACATAATTACAAGGATATAAGTCTGGGTAGGCTAATGACATAATATGCATAGATGTAGGGATGGCTAGTTTATACTCCTGTATTCCACTGAGGTGACGATCGTTGCCGTACCAAAATGTCATTAATTGTTCAAGCAAATTTCTTGGATAAAGACGTGTATTTTGCAGGTTGTGTGTGTTTGATGTCTTTTCAATCATACTCAAACATCATGTACAGGCATGACTAGTTTCTTCAGTAAATTGTTATGAAAATGCTAAATAAACGATCCTTTAGTTTTTTTTAAGCATTTTTTATTTTGTAACTTTTAAACTAGGATGATAAAACTAACAACGCTTATAAATACTAGTAAATCATGGCTCGGCCCCGAGCTATGTAAGGCCACAGCAAGTAAATTTTATGGATGACATCCTCCGCAGACTCCAATCCTAATGCGAGCGGGCGAAAAAAAACAAGGCGGGCTGAAAAAAACAAGGTTCCTACATTTTCAAATTTTGACTCAATCATTGTACAAATGGTTTTGATTCAGTGGGAACATCACATATAAAAAGCCAA